AGGGAAAGAGATGAAATTTAAATTGAAGGAACGGTGAAAGAAGGAAAAAAAAATTAAATTTCATATCTTTATAAAATCAATTTTTCTCTTCATTTTCTCTTCGATCAAATAAATAAAATAAGCCATTATATGTGTTTTCTTTCTTCTTTATTTTCTTTTCATCCAACCAAACATAACATAATTGATACAAGAAATATTGTATGTTTGAGCCCGAGCATTTTCGAACATTGTTGGCGCAGTGAAGCCAACACCAATATTGCAGGGAACACTCACTACATTCCCACACAATCCAGCCTGAAGAAGAAGAAGGTCAAGAAATTGAATCTAAACAGAAACTGGAAGAATTTTATCAGAAGAGTCTGAGGACCATATGATACATAGTAGTCCTAATAAGCCAACACAACCGGGGTCTTTTTTAGATAATTTTGGTTTGGATGTTGCATGCTCACAATGTTCCATGACACATTTAATGCACTAAATCATTCAGGAGAGAGACAGGGACAGTGAGTCATTGAGATTTGTTTTTGTAAGGAAGCATGGGCATGTTTTGTTGGGGCACGTTGACACATGGATAATATTTTCATCACATAAAAAGTATATGTAGTGGATTAAGGACAAAGGTGAGGATGATGGGCAAGGGTGGTTCCTTTTTTGGGCTTTGGGATTTGTTTTTGTCACATTGGACTAAAATAATGTGGGTGTGTTTCACTTGTGCTCGTGCTTGTGGACAAGGAAGGGGCATGTTTGAGATTGATGATGCTTGCTAGTGCTGTAGTCGAGAGTTCCCAAGCAAACCAAAGAAGGGCAAGTGCGTGTGGTGGGCCCAATTTTCCACACATAACATAACACATCCCAATATTGCATATTTTGCACTGTTGCATTGCATCTAATGATTCTCCTCCACCCATTTCAATGCTTTGCCTTCCCTTCTTCTCATATGTAGAAAAGGAAATAGCTGATCATGAATCAACTAATACCACATTATTTCAATTTAATCCATGATATTTAGTTC